ATTGAAGGCTTCTGCTACACTAGGATTATAATGCATAGCTAAAGTTACTCCTGTAACTATTTGTATAACTAAACAAACTCCTAATAAAGAACCAAAGTTTCATAAATAACTTATATTACTTGGTTGTGAATGGTCAATCACGTACATGTTAACCAATTTTAATAAAGGGTGACTTTTTAATATTCTCATTTTAATTTTAATAATGATTTTTAATATTTATTAATACTTATATATAAAAATAAATTTTACTTTACTACAAGATTTATTTATTTAATGTATTATGTGGGCGGAGCCCAATAAAATATATATACGTATTTTTAAAATTATATATTTAATATATTAAATATATATACTGCATAAGATGCAAATTGTTATTGGGTTATAAGAATGTTACTTATTTCATAATAAGTAGCGTAGCCTTCGTATCCCATATCCCTTAGGGATACTAGGAATAAAAATAATAATAAAAATTAATTATTACTATTTACATTTTTATTTGTAATATTATCCACATTAGTTTCACTATCTACTACAATTTTAGATTTTTTATTTTCTTCATTTGCACTAGATAATTGATCATCTTCTATAATTGATCTTTTATTATCAGATGAACCTATATCATTTGGATTTTCATTTAAAGAAAATTTATTTAAAGCTTCATTTATAGCTAACATTTCTTTTGCATCTTGTTCTCTAGATTCTGCTATAATTGAGTGTAAAGAGTTTTCAGGTAAAACCTTAGTTCTTTCATATTCTTCTTTTTCATCTTCAAGTCATTTAGATTCATGTTCCGCCAATTGTTCATACATAAACTTCATTTTTTCAACGTATCATTTACTTGAATTACTATAATCAGTAGTACGAGAAGAACTAATATCTTTATTTTCTGTTTTCTGAAATTTTGTCCTTATTATTATCACTCTTCGAATCATTATTTTTAGTTTCTGTATCATCATCTGATCCGTCAAAAGAAACAGTATCCGAAGAAATACCTAAACCTATTAATCCTATTAGATAAATTAATAAACTAAAAATAACAGAGGGTTTAAGAATTATAGATATAAATTTTTTAATTATAAATTTAAATATTTTGGGTCCCGTACTTAGACACTTCTTTTGTATTACCTCAAGCTCATAAACTTGAAGTTAAACTATCATCATGTTTACCTAGTTTAACATAATTATTAACACCTAGTAATACTAATACACATGATAATGTTATAGAATTAGCTAAGTCAAAGAAAATAGAAATGAAAGTAAATATTGATAAATAGAAACAAGCTCCTATTAATATATAAAGAGCGTAATCAGTAACTACTCCTTTACCTAAACCAGATACTGTTTTACTAGCTTTTACTAAAGCTATTCCAAACCCATAAGGACCTATTCATTCTACACTACCTTTATCTAATATTTTTGTAGTTTGACCTCCTAAATCTAATACAGTGTTAACAATATATTTATTATAGAAGAACTCAACTAAGAAACGTTGGTTAAAGAAACCATAAATATAATAACCTAAGTTAGTTAAATTAAAATCTACTACAACTTTAGGCATATATTCGTAGTAAACTATAGATAATACTGAAAATAATATGGTTAAAAAGAAAGGAAGTAATTTAAATATAGTAGGTACACCAAATTCAGTATCAATTAGTATTTCACGCATAGGATGAATAAATATACTATTATCTATAAAGAATCCAGAACCTAACCTATATATATATCTTTAGTTAAATAACCAAAATATATAGAGAATATCGCTAGTATAACTAGAGGTAAACTAAGGAATATATCACCTTCATGAGCGTTTTTATAATAATTTACAGATCCATTAGGATTTGCTAAGAAAGTTAAGTATATAACTTTTACTGAATATAATGTTGTGAATACTGCACCTATTGTGGCAATAAAGTAAACATTTATACTACTAAAATGATATTGACCATAAGCAGATTCTAAAATAAAATCTTTACTAAAGAATCCTGTCATGAATGGGAAAGCTACTAAACTAAGACTAGCTATTAATATTACTGTATATGTTAAAGGTAAGAATGATATTATCCACCATATTTCTTAAATCTTGATTGTCTACAACTGCGTGAATTACAGCACCAGCACCTAAGAACAATAATCCTTTATAGAAAGCATGATTAATTAAATGGAATATAGCAACATTATAAGAAGATAATCCTATAGCTATAACCATCATACCTAATTGACTCATAGTAGAGTAAGCAATAATTTTTTTTATATCTTGTTGGAATAAACCTATAAGAGAACTAAATACTGTAGTAACAGCTCCTAATCATAAACATATTAATAAAACAGTAGAACTATATTCTATTAAAGGAGATGAACGTATTAATAGATATACCCCTGCAGTAACCATTGTAGCTGCGTGTATTAAAGCAGATACTGGAGTTGGACCTTCCATGGCCATAGGTAATCATATATGAAGTCCTACTTGAGAACTTTTAGCCATTGCACCTATTAATAAACATATTCCTATTATTGTTATTATATTTTCATTAATATATGGGGCTAATGAGAATACTGTGCTATAATCTAAATTACCTAGAGATCACAATATTACAAACATTCCTATTGTTAAAAAACAATCCCCTACTCTATTAGTTAAAAATGCTGAAAGAGAACTTTGATTAGCCGCGATTCTAGTGAATCAGAAGCTAACTAAAAGGTATGAACATACTCCAACACCTTCTCATCCTACAAACATTAATAAATAATTGTTACCAGTTACTAAGATAATCATCATAAAAGTGAATAAACTTAAATAACTAAAGAATCTTTGACTATGAGGATCGTGACTCATATATCCAATAGAGTAAAAGTGAACTAAAGAACTAATCACTAAAACTGGTATTAACATAGAAACTGTTAAACTATCAAATTGGAAATTTCATACCATATTAAATGATTCACTATCTAATCATTTGAATAGGTTAATTGATATAGGATTATTATTAAATCCTACTTCAAAAAAGCTAATAATAGCTAATATTGTTGTTGTTATTATACTTAAACAACCTAAGATACGACTACCTGTCACACCGACTTTTCTACCAAAAAATCCGGATACTATAGATCCTAATAAAGGTAATATAATTATACTTAAATACATTATTTATATTCTATTGCGATACTTCCTCTTAGTCTATAAAAAGCTACTAGAATAGCTAAACCAATGGCAGATTCTGCACCAGCAACTACTATGATGTATATAGCATATGTTTGTCCTATTATATCGTCTAAATTAATAGAACTAACCAATATTAAGAATGTTATAGATAATAGCATTATTTCTATAGAAATAAGCATTAATATTATATTTTTTCTGTTAAATACGAATCCTAAAATTCCTATTAAAAAAAGTACTAAAGTTAAACTCATATTTTTATTGTATATGCTTCTAATTATTCAAAACTATTATAATATACGTATATTTAAATTAATTGTTTTTTTTATACGCATATTTGTATAGCCACTATATGAATGACTATACTAGAGGCATTATAGAATCGAACTACAATTGTGATGTCCGTAGCATCAAGTTTTACCATTAAACTAATACCTCTTTTATCAAGAGAGGCTAGCTTCGCATATTTCCATAGAAATAAAAGGAAGGCCTCTGATAAAATTTTATATAAATGCATTATTATATAATAACTTATAAATTAAGCATTATAAAGTCAGTGAACAAATTTGTCTATATTTACAGATTCTATAACTATAGGCATTGAACTGTGTAAGATTCCACATATTTCTGAACATTGACCGTAGAATACCCCTTCTCTGTTAATGAAGATAGATACTTGATTTAATCTACCAGGGTATGCATCAGTTTTTATACCTAAAGAAGGAACAGCAAAAGAATGTATAACATCTCCAGATGTTACAACAAATCTGATGTGTGTTAATTCAGGAACTATCACTCTGTTATCAACTTCTAACATTCTTAATCCACCTTCTTCTAAGTCTGAATCAGGTACTATGTAAGAATCAAATTCTATAAATTCTTCGCTAGAATCTATAAAATCTGGATATTGGTAACTTCAATATCATTGGTGACCTTCAGCTAAGATAGACATTGAAGGGTCGTTAACTTCGTCCATTAAATATAATAATTTAAAAGATGGGAAAGCTATAAGTATTAATATAAGAGCAGGTGTTATAGTTCATATTAATTCTATTAATGTACCATGATTTAAGTATTTGTGTGATATAGGTGATCTTTTTGCTGCAAAATTTCTTATTATTGAGAAAAGCATTCATCCAACACTAAATAAAATTATCACTAAGTAGTACATAATATTATCATGTAATTCAACTAATCCTTCCATTTGCGGAGTAGCACTGTCTTGGAAATATATACCTCAAGCAACAGGTGCGTCCATATATATAAATGAATTTAATAAATTTTTCATAAAAAATTATAATATAAAATTTCTAATTATAAATAGAATTGTTTTTTTTTATTGTTAGTTTGAACTAACGTCCCTCCCACCCATACCCCTAAATAAATAAAAATCTGAATATATTATTATATATTTTAAAGTTTTTGCTTTACTAATAGAATAGTTGTAAGCTTAATTAAATTAATTAAGCAACGTATAATAAAAGTAAAGACATCATTAAAGCGAATAACGCAGTAGCTTCTGAGAAGGCGAAACCTAATATAGAATATGAGAATAATTGGTTTTTTAATGAAGGGTTTCTAGCAACTCCTAAGATTAAAGCTCCGAATACTACTCCTATTCCTACTCCAGCTCCTAAAACTCCTACTGTGGCTAATCCTGCTCCTATTATTTTTGATGCTTGTAACATAATTTTTTATAATGTTAAAAATAAAAATATCGTATATTGTTGTATTTTTAAAGGTTAGAAATGTAAATTTCACAAAATAAATGGTAAATTTTTTATTGGTTTCACTTTGCTTATTACCACATCTCTTAGCTTTAAGGAATAGTGGGAACTATGCAAGCTAATAAATTATTTTTAAGACAATAAGCCTTATTTATTTTCAATAAAAGTATTGATAAATTTTTGAGATTTGTAGAAATAAGTATAAGATTGTCTACTATCTATTTTTAACGCACTTTTACCTAATTCAAATACGAATCCTGCTGTAATAATGAATGTAAAGATTAACATTATTATTAATCCATATAAACCATTTTCATAAATACTCATACCATAAGGGTATATTAGTAATATTTCTAAGTCAAGAAGAAGATATACTAGAGCAAAAATAAAGAATTTTACTCCGAATTGGCTTCTATTTTGTCCAAGGAAACTGTGGAAACCACATTCAAATATACTATATTTTTCTTGATAAGGATTATGAGGAGCTAAAATAAAATTAAGAGCTAAAAATAATAAAGCTATAATAGATACAATAATAAAAAGTAATGTAACACTGCTCATTTAACCATTAAATAAGATTTGTACCAATATGGTACCCATGCTTAGTCATTCTTGATTCATAAATATGAATAATAAAATTATAAGTGTTATATTAGATATAACAAAAGCCAGAGGACTTGATATAACTATATTATTATATTTAAAGTTTACATTTTTAATTACTGTTTTATTATTATTTAATACATTACCTTTTAATACTAAATTTTCTAATAAAGTATTAACTTTATAATCAGGTAAACTAAAGAACATTTCTTTTATTATACCTAAATAATAAACTCCACCTATAACACTAGTTGTTATAGCTATTAAAGATAAGAATATTAAACCTTTATCTAAAGCAGCACTTATTACCATCTGTTTTCCGAAGAATCCTATTAAAGGTGGTATACCTGCAAATGAGAAGATAGTAATAGCTAAACTTAAGGCTAATAAAGGATTAATATAATAATAACCTTTTAATTGATTTATTAATTGTATTGGAGAGTTATTTTTATCCATTAATTCTTCATGTTCTTTGTTTTCACTAGTATAATAGTATAATGAAAAACCTATAGCAATTAATATCATAAAGGCATTTAAATTACTTATAATATATTGAGTTAAATAGAATATAAGTGCTTGAGTAGATTCAACACTTGATATACCTAAAACTAAAAGCATAAATCCAACATGAGAGATTGTACTGTAAGCAAACAATCTTTTTATTCTAAATTGAGTTAAACCTACAACTGTTCCTACTATTAATGAAAATAAAGAACTTAGTAATAATATAAATGTTCAGCTCATTTCAGTAAAGCTATTATTAGTATAATATACTAATTGTAGTAATAATATAAATATAGAAACTTTAGCTATAAGAGCTACAAAAGTAGTTACTATTGTGGGTATAGCATCATAAACATCTGGTGATCAGAAATGGAAAGGTGCTGCACTTACTTTAAATAAGAATCCTATTGTAAATATAACTAAAGATAAATTTATATAATAAGGTTTGTATCATAAATCAGTAGAACTTATATCGCTTATACTAGTTATAATATATAAACCATCTAAGCTAGTACTTCCTGAATTAGCATATATTAAACCTGTTCCTAATAGGATAAAACATGAACTTAATCCTCCTAATAGGAAATACATTAATCCTCCTGTAGTAGATAATTCTGAATTTCTATATATAGTACTTAATATATATAGACCATAACTTTGTAATTCTATGGCTAGGAAAATAGAAACTAAATCATTAGTTGACATTAAGAATATAGCCCCTGTAATTATGAATAATAATATTAAAGGGTATTCTATTATTTTAAATTGTTCTCCCATTTTATTTATAATTTTAGTATTATAATATACAAATTTGTTTAATACTAAATCTTTTAAAGATGAATATTCTGATACTCACACTTTTCTAGGATAAAAACTAGTTAATGTTAATATCAATATACTAACTATAAATAAGAAAATATGGAAAATTTGTGTAAGATTTGTAATTAATAATAAACCTCCATGTAGACCGATACCTTTAGTTACTACAGTTAAAGAAGCTATATCATTTAAAATACAATAAGTTAAAATTAACATAGCAATTCTATTATATAGAATTGATATATCACGTCTGCTATTGACGGCATTAGAAAGTAAAAGAGATAAAATAGATATTATTATCATTGGATAAATTATATAAAGAGGTAAACGAAGGACTTGATCTTATCCATCTTATAAAAAATCATCTTAACCTACGCTGAGGACAAGCCTCAGCTTGTAATCTCAAAGAGATACGAAGGAAGAGTATTTTTGGATTCGGATGCTCATACCTTCGTATATTATAAATTGTATATTTATACAGCCTGAGGAGAGAATCGAACTCTCATCTTTAATGTATGAAATTAAGGTTTTAACCGTTAAACTACTTAGGCTTTTAATCCATATATTTTATTTCTGGCTATTAAGGAGTAATAGCTCCGACAACAAAGTGGATTAAATTGTCCATTTTAAAAGACTATTTTTATAAATCTAATTATTATTTGTATATATCATATTGGTATAAATAAGTATGATAATTATTTCGATTGTAAAAAATGGGAGGATACCCTGGCTCGAACAGGGAACTTACTGTGCCACATACAGTCGCTCTACCTATTGAACTATATCTTCCTTTTTCTACCTCCTAATAGGAGAGTAGTGATTTTAACACTCATTAGTAAATACCAAAAATTTATGACTTACCTATTGACCGTATGGTAGTAAGTAAGGGTTGAGGGAAGAATGTCAACCTTACTATATCTACTATATACGCAAACTATACAAACTAGCTTTATTACGTACGAAGGATGCATACCAATAAATAAATAGATTTTTATGCTGGAGTGATTCGAACACTCATTAGTAAATACCAAAAATTTATGACTTACCTATTAGTCAACAGCATATTTTAGATTAGGAGGATCATTAATCCTCCTAGATTATTATCAAGCTTCGGATACCAAAAGAAAAATATAATAATATATTATCTTGTTTGGATTTCCCTTAATCCCTATGGAATATCCCTACCTTTTGGGGTACTGGGATAGGGAGAGTATTCTACGGTAAATTTTGTGTTACTATTTTATAATGAATCTTTATTTCTAGGAAGTCTTGTAATTAATGCTTTTTATCTTTTAAATTTAATATTCCTTTCATCCGTGTGTATAGAGTACATGAAATTTGACATAAACGCCCTAGCCTCGGCTTGTTCTCTAATCTCAAAGAGATAGTGAAGGGGCTACTGTTCGATTTGTTCCTAACGTTAAATAGGAAAACATCGCTATTCCTTTACCTATAACAAAGTAGGAAATAAAATTAGTAGCTTGCTGACTACGTCAATGTGTAAATAAAATTCTTTTCATGTAAATTCTAAGGATTTGCACCTTAACTCTTAATGCTCTTTCTACGAAGGATTAAGAATAACTAGTTGAATTTATTGTGTCAAGTCGAAGAAGCGGCCCCCAAAGGAGATTGTTTTACCACAGTCTTTGACGAGGACAAAACATCGACGTTTTAAGAGCGGGACGACTTGACCATTGTGATTTATTTAGTTCTATTCTTGGCAAGGATAACCTCTTTGACATTTAACACATAAATTAGCATTGTGGGGTTTACGATTATCGTTGTGATTACCACCTTCTAGATTGTTATAACTAGTTATGATAACAGTATACACGGTCGTTACCCGGCTCGGCATGGTGAAAAAGCTACAAGTGAGTTGA